CCCCCTGCTCTCCCTAACCCTAGCAACCATAAATCTGTTTTCCATTTCTGTAACTTTTGCATTTTGAAAATATTATATAAATGGAATCATATAGTTTTTATCTTTTTGAGAGTTTTTTTTCCACTCAGCATAATGCCTTTGACTTCCATCCAATTTGTTGCATGTATCAGTACTGCTCCTTTGTATTGTTGAGTAATAGTCCACAGTATGGATGATCCACAGGTTGTTTAACCATTCACCTATTGGAGGACATTTTGGTTGTTTTCAATTTGAAGCTATTACAAATAAAGGCACTATGAGCATTCGTGTAAAGGTTTTATGTGGATTAAGTTTTCATTTCTCTAGGATAAATGCCCATGAGTGTGATGCTTGGGTCATGTTGTAAGTGTATATTCATTTTTTTCTTTTAAAACAAATGTATTAAGATATAATTTACATACCATACAGTACAGTTCAACTATTTAAAGTATACAATTTAATATTTTTAGTATATTCAGAGCATGTGAATATACCATAACCTCTATCTAATTTTATAACATTTTTGTTCCCCCAAAACACACCCTGGATCCATTAACAGTCAATTCTTACTGCCCTCACTGTACATACCACCCCCATCCCTAAGTGGCTATTAACTACTTTCTGTAAATTTTAACACTTCTTTGCAAAATTTGGAAAAGTAAGATATTTTAACTGTAGTTAGTTAAGACTGCTTTCTGCTTCCACTCTGACTCCCCCTCTTGTACCTTTCCCCTTGTGATAGATGGCACTGGAATGGCAATAGGCACTTTTGGAATCCAGCTAAGGGGAAGTTTAGATGGGGATACACTCCACTTGGGATCTAGTCTCATGGTTTATAGTTACTCCCATGAATAACTGAGCTATTACCTGCTGCCTAGATGAAGAAACAGCTCCAAAAGTCTCTTATGCACCCTCCATGCTGACTCACCTGATGCTGTGACCTGTAGGTCTCAAGACCAGAGTTCAAATCAAAATCTTAACATGTCCTATAGCATCTGTCACCAGAAGTGTGTAGGAGTGGAGGAGAATCAAGTTTCAAAGATGCATGAAGCCAGAAGCTAGTCTGAAGAAAAGTCTTCCAATTGTCAGCTGTGTAAAAATGTAAGCAGAGGATTCTGTCTTACTGATGTCCAGTCAAAACCAAATTTGTCCTGTTGGCAACTTTCTCAATAACACAGTGAATATCATTATAGACATACCATGCATCCTTTTCTTTTTTGATGGGAACTGTTCAAAATACAATTTATCAGAATTCCTATTTTACATTTTTGATGACACAAATGACATCATAAAGATGTCAACTTAGATAATAAAAACTCATAATACACCAATTATAATGAGGTTTTCACAGACGCATTGGCTAGTAAATGTAGCCAATTTGAAGAACACATCTAAGATTAGTCTCTAAACAAGGAAATTTTTGAAAGCTGATGAATACCACAAGTATCACAAAGTTCCCATAATAGTTTGATGAATTAAATGTCAATCAAACTTGAATATTTTTTCCTACATTTTTGGCTGCACACTCTGATTGCTTATTCATAAGGCAACAATTTAATAATACCATTTTGTAGAGAAGACGAGAGAGATAATTCAGCCTTTTCTTAGTATGGCAGATCAAATTTGTCTTTTATTATTTGATCACTTAGAAAACTTTCAGGTTCATGGTTTGCTATTATCAGTGTCATATAAATATTTAGGTGTGTTGTCAAGTTGGGGACAAACCTTTGTCAACTTTCTGCCATCTATGAGCTCTGATTCCAGAGCTTTTAAAAATTTGTAATTTGTTGTGATGGTCTCATTGTAAATAAATATTCACTTTTATGTCTATTTTTTTATTTAGAATTTTTTCTCTTTCAAGCACCCCAGCCCCACAGCCTGGCCAATGCAGTGATGCAGTGCAGAGCATGCTCTTTGGTGCTGTTATGCCTCCTTGAAGTGTTGGGGCTGGTTACTCAGGCTCCAGGCCTAGGAGTTGAGTATTATAGGGTCAATACTGATCAGGCTCTGAAAAACGGACAGAGGTTCAAAAAGTCACAAGAGTGGGTCAAACTAAAATGCCTCTTTATGGGCATTTTATAGGGTCACCTATGGGGCATTTTAAGTCCCCAGTAACATTATCAGGCCCACTCCTATCTTTGCTTCTCAAGGATCCCAGGATCAGGAGGAGCCTGTCATTCACCACCTAGGCCTGGTGCTTAATTATTTTCTGGTGAAGAATGTTTTGAGAACACAAAAGCATGCCCATGTCCCTCATCAAATTAAACTATTGGTAAAAAATATATACTGTGTTTAAACAAACAAAAGATGTTTACAAAAGCAAGGTGATTCCAGCTCCTTGAAAATTAAGGGGTCATCAGGGGTTTGTGCTAGTTACAAAAAGAGGTAAGCTTGGCTCACCAAAATTTGTCAAACACTAGGGCGAGAAATGGTACCTATTCTGTTGTTTCAGGCCCCCACCCCCTTTCTGGAAGTTGCTCAAAATACTGTGTTTTACTCAATTCCACTGTGACTTTTGGTCATTAACTTATCTCTCCAAATAGACTAGGTGGAGATGAAAGTATAAAGTAAAAATGGGAAGGAAAATAGACAGCCCATTTTAACCTCTGATGGCACTTGTCTGCAGGAGTCATATACTTCAGTCCCTTGGAAGAAACTCAGTAAATCGCTGGCCTCATGTAGCAGGAGGTCCCTTTAAGAGGGCTGCCCAGGTGGGGAGAGAAAAGGTCAGCACAACTCTGCTGATTCCTGGCTGAACCTGTTGGATATTCTGGGCCATCCTGGTTTGTACCTTGAACCTGCTACCTTGGCTGACCCCTCAGTTTCTCTCTTACCAGCTCTATTTTTTTTCTCTCTCTGGCTCAGCCCACATTTTGCCTCACTCTGTTCCACCACATCTGTTCCAGTTCCGGTCCTTTCTTCCTTCCACTTTAGTTCTCCCAAACAGACATGGCTTTAGTCACCACTTGCATGCTCTTTTAAGTTTGGCTTTTTTTGTTTTTTACTTCATTGTGTTAAGAACATTTAGTGAATTTACCCTCTTAACATTTTTAAGTGTACAATACAGTAGTGTTATCTGCCAGCACAATGTTGTACAGCAGATCTCTAGCCCTTATTCATCTTGCATAACTGGAACCTTGTATTAGCAACTACACCTTTCCCTCTCCCCACTTCCTCTGGCAACTATCATTCTGTTCTTTGCTTCTGTGAGTTTGACATTTCAGGTACCTTATGTAAGTGGAATCCTGCCGCATTTGTCCCTCAGTGACTGGGTATTTTCATTTAGGGTATTCTATCAAGGTTATTCTATGTTGTCACATATGGCAAAATTTCCTCCTTTTTTAAGGTGAACAATATTCCATTGTATGTGTATACCACATTTCTTTTGCCTGTTCATCTGGGGATGGACTTTAAATTATTTCCACATCTTGTTTATTGTGAATAGTGTCACAATGAACATAGGAATGCTGCTATCTTTGAGATCCTGATTTCAATTCTTAAAGTATCTAGAAATGGGACTGCTGAATCTTATCAGAGTTCTATTTTAATTTTTTGAAGAATCGCCATGCTGTTTTTCATAGAGGTTATACTATTTAACATTCCCACCAACAGTGTACAAGGGTTGCAGTTTCTCCACATCCTTGCCAACACTTGTCTTTTCTTTTTTATAAGAGCCATCCTAACAAGTGTGAGGTGACATCTTTTTTATTTACATTTCTTTGATGATTAGTGATGGTGAGCATCTTTTCATGTATCCATTGGCCATTTGTATGTCATCCTTTAGAGAAATGGCTATTCAATATTCCTTTGTCCATTTTTAAATGTTATTAGTTCTTTTGCTATTGAGTTGTAGGAACGCCTTATATAGTTTGGAAATTAATCCTTCATCAGATATATGGCTTGCAAATAATTCTCCCATTCTCTGGGTTGCCTTTTTACTCTATTGATGGTTTCCATTGCTATGCAAAAGCTTTTTAGTTTGATGTAGTCCCACTTGTCCATTTTTGTTTTTGTTGTCTGTGTTTTTGGTGTCATAGATATGAAATCATTAATAAGATCAATGTTACAAGCCTTTCCCTATGTTTTTTTCTAGGAGTTTTACAGTTTCACGTCTTAACCATTTAAGTCCTTAATATATTTTGAGTTGGTTTTTTTGTGAGATAAGGCCCACTTTCATCCTTTCACATATGAATATCCAGTTTTCCCAATACAATTTTGTTGATACTGAGTTTTCATTCAATAAATATTTATTAAACATCTTTGGGCCAGACATTATGGTAGGCATAGGGAATTCAAGGCTGAGAATAGCAATGGTTGCAAGTACACCCTCCAGAGCCAAACTGCCCTGAGTTCAAATCCCGGTACCATCATTGCTAATTGCATGGCCTTGGGCAGGTTACGAACTTCATTGAGCCCCAGTGACCTCAACATAAAAGGGATAATGATTATGGTCTTTCTCACAGGATTGATGTGAGGATTTAAATAATTAATATGTGTAAAGGGTTTAGAAAAATATCTGGCATTCAGTAAGCATTCTTAAATGCTGGCTCTTAAGGCATAGTCCTTGCCTCTCAAGGGGCTCACAGACTACAGTTGCCCCTATCTCCTGTCCCACCTGGCTGGCAAGGCCATCTGGGTCTTCTGGCATTTCAAGTGACCCAAAGCTCCTGGCTACCCTTTCCTGGAACCACGTGATGAAACGGGTGCAAGTCCCTGTATCACAGATTCTCTTTGTGACCCTGGACAAGTATTTCTTACTCTCTGGATCTCAGTGCGTTTGTAAAGGGAGGAAGTTGGACCAAAATTGATTTCCAACCTCCCAACAAACTCCTCGTTCTGGGTAGCCCCCGTGGAAAGTACGTCGACCTGGGCAAGTCAGTTAACCTTTTTCCGCTCATCTGCCCACCTGTAATGGGATAATAGTACTAAACCACCGTCCAGGCTGCAGCGAGGGTTGCGTAGGGTAATTCGAGCGCGTGGCCTCTGCGCTTGCTCAGCGAGCACCGGCTGCGCCAGGCCAATCCGCTCTCCCGGCCGCAGGTTTCTCACTTCCGGTTCAGTGGGTCCCGGAGGCCAGACCGAGGCTAATGGCGGCGTCCACGAAGCAGGCCACCCTGGGCGTTGAGGAGGCCACGGCTGAAGAGGAACCGCGAATTCTGGAACCCGGGGCCGCCCCGTTTGGAAATTTCCCACATTACTCGCGCTTCCACCCTCCAGAGCAGCGGCTCCGCCTCCTGCCCTCCGACCTGCTTCGCCGGCTCTTCCCCCAGAGTCCCGAGACGAGGCCGATCCTGGGGCTCGACGTGGGGTGTAACTCTGGGGTGAGTGACGAGGGAGAGATCGGAGGTCGGGATGAGCGGTTGGTTTCCTCCATGTTCCCTGGGGGCTCTGGCTTGGGCGTGACATCACACCCATCGTAACTTTCCCAAAGTGAGCTTAAAGGCGTAGCGTTGACCCACAGTGTGGCTGGCGACCTGGCTGGGGAGAGGGGCTTCCGGAGACACACATTTGGGATTGTAGGGTTGGAACTGGTTTACTGAGAAAGATGAGCCAGGGGTGACAGAATCACGCCTGGAATTAAGAATATTGTGCCGCAGAGTGCAGGACGGACCCTGGAGCCAAGTGGATATTTATTTAAAAAACATTAAGTTGATTGGATACAGTGGAGAAGATCGAGAAGCAAATAGAGCATCGTGCTGGAGGAAGGCACTGCCAAGTCTTCTTACGGCAAAGTATTCTTAGGCATATAATGATTACTGCCAAATCGTATGCAAAATAGCGAAATGTCTCTCTGAAACACATTTGTAGCCACCAGGATATCCTAGAGGAGCAGGCATTCTTACCCCATGATTGCAAATGCTTCAAAAGTTAGTATCCTCAGTCCATTCCAGGCCAGGAGCAGAAGGGGCTGAGAAGAATTTAATTGTGTTGCTTGCCTGAGGGGCAGAAACTTGGGTGAAGGGTTGAAGGCTATTGGGACAAAGCTGATAAAGGGGAGGGGAACATTTGGATACAGGCTCAAAACTGGAATGAGCAGATGAGTGTCTGGATATCCCTTGCAAACATTTCTCCACTGTGATGATACAGGAAATCACAGGGGGAATGAATAGAAAAGAGAGACTGGGTTTAAGACTTAGTGAAGGACACTAGGAAATCCCAGGAGATTTTAAAGATGAGAGTAGTATATATACACATTAGAAGCAAGGCCGTACATGCAATTAACTAGGGCAGTGGTTCCCAAACCTGGCTATACATTTAGGGTGCTTTTTTCTTTACACTTGAGAAAAAATGCTTGCCCTTGATAAAACAGACAAAATACAAAAAGGCATAACATAAAAACTTAGGTCTTTACCCTGACCCTAAATCCTCCTTTTTACACAATCGCACCCATTGTTTATAATTTCTTGGGTGTGTGTACACAGCATTTATGTATGTATAAACATCCCACTTCTTTTAGTTTTATAAATAGTAGCAT